GGTCCATAAAGAAACTCTTTTCTAAAGACACAGTTCACTTGAAAGATTTACTAAAGTTGCTTCAACTGCTATTTTCAAGAATTGTTAAAACAATATTATTGTCAAACTAGTGTATTGCTAATCACATTTTTATTGTTAACATTTGCCACTGAAATTGCTCTTCAATTGTTTGTTTTGGAACAGACTCATAAAATATCATGACAGCGATATTTTGGCACATATTGGAAAATCTGCCATGAATAAAGATTTTTTCCAATAAAATAGAGTTTGCCTATATTACTTGGCATTAAAATGATTTACTGAAGTAGCCAAAACATAAACCACTGAAATAAAATGAGAGATTAGAGTTATAGCAACATTCAAAGACTGATACATCCAAATTCACATTTAAAACACATTTTAAAGCAACTTCTACACTTTGGAAAGTGGCAAACTGGAAAAAAGAACATCCTTCATCCTGCTCATCTGGCAATTCTACACATAAAAGCCAAGTCATCAGGATGCTCCTGAGGGCTCACATTCTTCAGGAACACACATTTATTAAGCAGATTCAGGATGCCTTACTGCTGTGGACCCAGAAGATTGCATACACTAGAAACCCATTCAGCTTATTCTAATGCATGCTACTTCATCTTTCTTTCCCTGCCGAACACTGGTTCTGCCAAAGAAAATTCAGAGTTCTAAAGCAGGTAGGCCCTGCCGCGGAAGTGGTACCCAAGTCCCAGGACAATCACCTTTCCTACCTTTCTCCATTGCTTGGCCAGCTAAAACTAGGGCAACTTCCAGCTGAAACACAGATTTGATTGAAATGCTGCCCACTCTGCTCTGTCATGTTATCAGAACTCCTGGGACTTTGGATCAGACCTCAGACCATCTCTGTCTCCCATGCTCCCTTCCCCAAAATTCCTTTGGTTGACCCTAAAAGCCTCCCTTGCAGCTTCCTGTTTTCATCCTGTGGTGGCTAAAGATGCAGGGACACTCAATTTGCCAGTATATGCCCGTGACCTTAAGCCAAATTTGCTCCACATCCCAAACCTGTGACTGATCAGTCTACTTCCACATTGCAGGAGGACAGGGATTCTAAAAGAATCACCCCAACCCCTTCTCTCTCCAGGTAGAGGCTAGTGACTGGTTTTAAAGGGCCTAAATTACTTGCACAAATATGAAATAAACGTAGTATATGACCCTTCAGGATTTCACCCAGAATATCCTTTAGCCTCACTACATAACCCCTTCTCTGTGACCTCTGCTCCACATACTGAGGCCTCAGTTCTCACCATGCCAGGTGCTGATCTTGTCTCTCCCATTCCTCAAACTGCAGTGCTTCCCCTTCCTCAAGAAAACTCCTTTGTCCTGAGGCCCTCTAGAAAGGTCACTACTTCTGTGAGACAGCAGCTGTGACTTCTTTCCTCCAATGATGTGCTACACATCGCTTTTTCCTGGCAACATTATTGTAGAAGGCCTTGTATGCAGCCTTCCAGACAGGAAGAAGCACTGTGCCTCCTGAGTGGGCCATTACAATTACAGATTGCTTTTATTTCCTTCCAAAACAACAAAAAATACTTTTAATTGGCCATGTAACAGTTTGAATCCATCCCTGGAACTCCTGGTGGACCATATAATGCCTGCTGTCCCTGAGACTTCCACATGGCTACTCTCTACACACAGGACAGCAAATTCAGCATTCTGCTCCATGCCTCTGCACTTGCCTCCAGGCCTGCAGGAAAAACAACAGAAGCTGCCAGCAATTTCTGCCCATCAGAAGAGACAGGCTTACTTTCTTAATGAAAAACATCTAGGAGATGTACTGGTGGTAAAAGCATACCACACGGGGACTTTAGAAAAGAACAAAGAAGTTACAAAGCCTGTAAGAAGTTTGTAAGCACATCAAACATGAACAGCTATGGGCTGTGAGTAAAGAAAAAAGTCATCAAGGTTCAAGGTAGACCACAATCTGAGTGAGTGAAAAGCTCTTTTGTCATTTTGTTAATGGGCAGTTAGAAGGCATAAGGAGTAGCAAACATGCAGGGTGCCACACAATCTCCTCATTACTCCTTGTCCTGATCACAGCATTGCTAGAAGCTGTCATATATATGTTAGACAACACCTAGGCCCTCAAACTTAGAAAGCAAACTGAACTGAAGTACATACTGTGTTTCCTTGACTCTAGGAACCCGTCAGTTCTAAGATGCACCATTATTTTATCAAGTGCTAAGAAAGAAAAATGTTGCCAATTAAACTATGACACAGTTTCGTATTACTCGGAATTTTATTTTCTTTTTATTGAAAGAGCTCTTTCAGACGTATTCAGACAGATTTTTATAATATATCACTCTCAGGCATTTATAACAAGGAAAATAAAAGTGAAATAAATTGGTTTAGGCAATGACAACCAGGTCACCTCACTGAAAGCAATTGTAAAACACCATTGATTTGGAAAATATACCTCAGTTTCAGAAATGTTAAACTCTGAAAAATGTGTGATTCATAGAATCAATAAAATATTGTTATGTATGGCTCAGTGATAAAAAGTTTAAAAAGTCAAGGTAACAATTCATGGGATAATGGCTACAAAGACCTTCCACTGATTAAAATGTATTTAAAAAGAAAAAAATCTAAGATTATTTAACTCAAGAAAGACAAAAGTAGAATAGGAATTTAATAATGCTCTTCAAGGACATCAAAGTGCTGCTCCAGGAAGCAGTGTTTTAAAGTCCCTTATTCTTTACTTTTTAGCATGAAGATCTCTTTCTACAAGAAACCTGAGTGTGGGGCTGTTTTGTTCAGAGTAAGAGCATCTTCCCAGACATATCTATGGGGCTAGGACCAGCTTAACTCCTGACCTGAACAGATATGTCCCTTTCTACTCACTCCCTACCACAATCACAACCGCACGACAAGGAATTAAACTGTGGCAGTGACTAATTAAACTTTCACTTCAGTGTAAAATATGAAGTACTTGCTAGGTGCTCAGTACACAAACATTAATATATTAAGTAACCTACAAGAAAGAATTTTCTATATCAGAATTTTAGACCTTGAGATGATAGCCAAAGGGTAGAATGAAAATTTCTTCTCACAAAAGGTAAATTAAACTTAGCAGTTTAGAAAGCCTCCTGCCACAAAGATGAATCACATCTATCCATTCTAAATACACACATACACACACATTTATTTTGGGGGTGGAGAAAGTAGTGGGGAATGAACGGGGGGGGGGGGTCCTCTACCACTGAGCAACATCCCCAACCCTTCTTTTTTGAGACTTGCTAAACTTCCCAAGCTCCTCTTGAAATTGTGATCCTCTTGTCTCGGCCTCCCAAGTCGCTGGAATTACAGGCATGCACCACTGTGCCTAACTCCATTCTGGCTTTAGAAGTCTACAACACTGGTTACTTTTCAAATGCATACTAAATGTGGTGGTCTGGATGGTTTGGGTGGCTGGTCCCACTCCCAACCATGTGGCCAAACTTAGCACCTTGCTGTACATTATCCTCCAAAACAAATCTGCAAGTATTGTTCATCCTTCCTACTAAAGGTGTCTATTAGTATACCACTTGGCAAAACCTAAAAATCTGCTTTAGACAGCTCCCAATCACATTTCTTCATCTCCGTTTTCTATATCCCTTCTCCTGATACTGCCTGAAAACCCCCTTGTAGTGTATTCAGTCCAGGCTCTCGTCTTGTATATTCCATTCAGCATGGCAGCTCTATTCCATCTGGTCACCAAAGCTACACTTTGAGAATGCTGCCCATTACTACCCTTACTCCTCATCCAATGTCAAAAGCTGAGGGCTATGGTTTGAAGGTGTCCCTTCCAAAATTCAAGTATTGTCAATGTGACAGTATTATGAAGTGAGGCCTCAGGAGGTGTTTAGGCTATGAGCTCTCCTCCCTCCCCAATTGGAAGCTTCACACAGCATCATGCATGCTTGCCCTTCTACCTTCTGCCATGTGAGGCACAGCTTGAGGGCCCTCACCAGATGCCAAATGCTGGTACATTGATTTTGGACTTTCCAGCATTTAGAACCATAAGAAATGAGTTTCTTTGCTTTATAAATTACCCAGTGTGTAGAAGTTTATTAGCAGTGCAAATGGACAAAGATACTCAAGATAACCCAGCCAGCATTCCTGAAAGGGAAAGGGGCACCTGTAGCTAAGAAAAATGCAGTTTTTATGACATAGTCATAATAGCATAGAAAAAAAAAATTTTGTTCTAGTATTTGAAGATGATTCAAGAAAATTTATCAAGTGATAAAGCTAATGAAGCTAATGCTCCATTGATGGCCATGGTAGGTTAGATTGACCTGGCTGCAGAAAGTTACCCACCTTTGTGTCTTTTTCTGTCATTGAGTTCTGGAGGTAACACACTTGGTAAACAGAGATAACACACCCATGAACAAAAGAACCTTTTGCCAAGGGCACTCCTTTGCTCTAAACACCAACTACATTTTCAGCCTAATTCTGGGTGTGAATAGGGATCTAAATAGGGATTTATTAGAGGTGACTCTACAAATAGGAGCCATAGATGATATTTAAGATACATTCAATGGATAGAAAAAAAACATGGTAAAAGAAAACTAAGCCATTCTAAATTCTAAAGAAGACAATTTTCTAACCAGACATAAAACTGATGGTTTGGTACCCAGTAATGTTCATATTGAGCATCAGAAAATTCATACCAATTTTAGCAATAATCATCCTGCCCTCTCTCCACAAACCAAACTCAGATAAGGCATTCTATGATGAAAACACATATTATTCAATGGAAATAAGATGTAAATGACTTGTGAAAGGGGAGGTCATTAAATAGTGTCTCCATACAATTTCAGAGCATATCATCCCTTTACAGATAAGAAAGCTAAAAGATCTAATGAGGTTAAGTGAGATGATAAAGAATATTCAACCCTTTGAGTTAGAATCTGGGATTTAAAAAAAAAAAAAAGTTAGCTTGGTAAAAATCTTTAGACTTTTAACATTTCACAGCCCATTTCCTTTCTTACCAGAATTACTTCAAAAATGAGTGGGATCAGTTTGCTTTCTTCCACAAGTCTGTTAAAAAAAAAAGATAACCACACATTACAATGTGTATATTTAAACATACATTACAATATATGTATTTAAGCTATTGCCCTGATGCGGAGCAAGGAAGTCCCTGTGTTTAACTGTTAAATTCTGTAACCAAGAACATTATGATTAAATGCTCACTTTTAATACACTGAACTATAGCTATTAAATACAAGAAATATGAGTCTTCTTTAAAAGTGACTACTATCTTGGTCTTATTCATCTATAAAAGTGAAATCTTAAATAGACTGATATTTTTAATGTGAAAATTAATTAAAATTCACAATTATTATAAAGAATATCAAAAAGATTTGCCAGTTCAAAGAATGTAACCAATCCTTAGTACAGTTAAATTATAAGCATGTGACACTGTAATTTTTTATATATGCCTCATTAACTGTCTTCTCGGCATTAATGAATTAATGTACAATGAATTTTAATGGCCTTTAATTTTTAAAAAATTGGACACCAATCATCCAATGCACTCTAGGCACTCTCCCTCATCAAATCTAGTTATAAATTTTCATCAATTGTAACAGAATAATTTTTTCATGCAATTTAAGAGAAACTAGCCTTGATAACACCAGAACTATTCAAAAGTCAGTTTTTATTAAGAACAATATTTCAATCTTTAAATAGTCCTTTAATCCTGGGTTCAGCAAACTTTTTGCTGCAATAGTCCACATAGTAAATATCTTCTGTTTTGCAGGCCACACTGTCTCTATAGCAACTACTCATCTGTCATCACAATATGAATGCAGCCATAAATAATACAGAAACAGTTCATGTTTATGTTCCAACAAAACTTTATTTACAAGAAACAGACAATGGGCCATTTGGGGGCCACAAGCTTGCTGGCTCCTACTTCTAACAAAAAAATCATTCCATTGTAATATTTTATTAGAATTAACTTCGTATGATAAACTACAAAGCTTAAGATGAGCATATTGCATTTTTGTAGATATGTGAAGTTTGTCTATTTTACAAAAAATACCAGGTGGAAACAAATTTTATCATCTGTTTCCCAGTAGCTTGTTCACAGTAACACATGGATAAAAGAAATGCCTATGAGATTAACCATTAAAAATATCAGTGTTTACAAATCTGTGTCAAGGTAAGAGATAGAGAGGTTTCCCAACAACTAAAGCAGTTAGAAAGACCTATTTCAATGTCCAGAAAAATTAAATATGATTACTGTTCCCCGCAGCATCATTCACAATAGCCATGATATAGGAACAACCTGGGTGCCTACAATGAATAAGTGGATAGAGCAAGTGTGGTGAAACACATGACAGAATAATTTTCAGTTGTTAAAAAGAAGGAAATTCTGTCACAAATGAATCCACAGGATGTTTTTCTAAATGAAATAAGCCCTCACAGAAAGAAAACACTACATGATCTCACATATCTGTGGAATCTTTAAAAAGTCAAATTCATAGAAGTAGAGAGTAGAAGAGTGGATACCAGAGAGGCTAGGGCTGAAACTGGACAGAGAAAGGGGACACATTAGTCAAAGTGTACAAAGTTCAGTCCGCCCAGAGGAACAAGTACTTGTGTAATATTGCATAGCTCAGTTACTATGCTAGTAAATAATATATTTTCTATTTCAAAATTTCTAAAATATTTTAAATGTTCTTACCAAAGAGTATATGCAGTAATGAAAAATATAAGTCTGATTTAATCTTTGCATGATGTATATATGTAACATTTTATCCCACAAATGTATGCAATTATTATTTGTCAATTTAAATAAAATAAAACTTAACAAAATATTTAAAATAAATATGTAATTTCTGTAAGGGGAAAAAGGTTTTGATTACAAGTTGTAAGTTCATGTATATTTTCTCACTTTCCTGGGCAATGGAAGGCTCAGATGTGAGGATGTAGCACCTCACACTAAGCCTGGGTAGGATGAGATATGCACTAACTAAAGACCAACCACAACTTCAGGTCCAGCACATTCATCATCTTCTTTCTCACTTTCCTAAATGTTAACTCTCTATTTTACTAACTTTGTCTTAAGCCTTCATGATATAAAATATCATTAGTTCCAGGATGAAATATCCCCAGGGCATATATCTCAAAGTTATCCTAGCAATTAAGGCCAAGAAAGTCCCAAGAACAAAGGTACCACTACTTCTCCAATGATAACTAGAAGTCCACGTCTCCCTCTATTTATTATAGGCTGCTGTATCATTCAGATATAGAAGTGTGCACTCACAAGACCAACCTGTTCATTTAAAAATATAATAAGTTATAACCAAACTAAACTACCGTAATTCATACTTTAAAATTAGAACACATTCTTCTCCAGATCTCTGCATAATGAGCAGGCTGGATTGTCTTCAAAGTCCCCTCTAAAATGTAAAACTCCAGGCTTTACATTCTTCTGAACAGTCAAAAACGACAAATTTTGTTCCTTGATTTAACATAATTCAGAGTTACACTAGTAAATTAAAAGGGAACTCAAGCAAAGTTTAAAAATGTCATTAAAAATTCTATATTGTTTTCTAAGATTTATGAACTAACCTTACATGTAACTCTAAAGCAAATAAAGAACCAGGGTGTCTGCAAACATTTACAACTATTGAAGACTCTTTTTTTCAAAAATTTGGAAAGTGATCAACAAGTGGACAATGAGATGAATATGCTGGGTTTAATCAGTACTTAAAAATTTAAAATGAAGCAAAGAATGTGCTGAAGTGCCAAACCTAGAACTGTTCTATAGTACGCTGGACAGGGGCAAAAAAAATTGTTTTTTTTTTATTTACTCATTTTATTTCACAGTGAGTTGTAGATGAACAACTGATATCTAAAAATTTGAAGAGACTCTTTGTATACTGCTTTTGCTCTGTAAGATGATGACAATAATGAAAGCTGGCTGAAGGGCTATGGAAATTCGTTGGATTACTTTTGCAACTTTTCTGTAGAGATAAAGCTATTACAAAATAAAATGTTTTTCTTTTAATGATTCCCAAATTCTTTGAGATATAGAAGTGTGCACTCACAAGACCAACCTGTTCATTTAAAAATATAATAAGTTATAACCAAACTAAACTACCGTAATTCATACTTTAAAATTAGAACACATTCTTCTCCAGATCTCTGCATAATGAGCAGGCTGGATTGTCTTCAAATCCATATGCAACAAAGTCTTCTCTTTGAGAGGAAGGGTCTATGTCTTCTGCCTTTAAACCTCGGCAGAATTGTGACTGCTTTGACTAACAGTAGCATGGAAAAGATAGTTTGTGATTTCTGCCTATACTCTCTGTATCTTTTTCTGAATTTTCTTTTAAGTCATTTATAGTATTTTATAAAAATATTTATTCTAGGGGCTGGAGTTGTGGCTCATTGGTAGAGCACTTGCCCTGCATGTCTAAGGCACTATATTTGATTCTCAGCACTGGACATAAATAAATAAAAATAAAGGTCTATCAACAACTAAAAAAAATATTTTTAAAATTCTCTGAAAGGGAAATGAGGAAAACTACCTCATTTACAACAACCTCAAAAATAAAGTAAAATACTTGGGAATCAACCTAACAAAAGAGGTGCAAGGCCTCTACAACAAAAATTACAGAATGCTAAAAAAAGAAATTAAAGAAGATCTTAGAAGATGGAAAGATCTCCCTTGTTCTTGGATATGCAGAATTAATATTGTCAAAATGACCATACTACCAAAAGCATTACACAGATTTAATGCAATTCCAATCTAAATCCCAATAACATTCCTCATAGAAATAGAAAAAGCAGTCATGAAATTCATCTAGAAAAATAAGAGACCCAGAATAGCTAAAGTAATCCTTAGAAAAAGAGTGAAGCAAGTTACATCACTATAACAGACTTCATACTACAGAGAAACAGTAACAAAAACAGCATGGTATTGGCACCAAAATAGACCTGTAGACCAATGGTACAGAATAGAGGACACAGAGACTAACCCACATAATTACAGTTATCTTATATTAGACAAAGGCACCAAAAACATACATTGGAGAAATGGTGCTGGGAAAACTGGAAATCCATATGCAACAAAATGAAATTAAACCCCTATCTCTTACCATGCACAAAGCTCAACTCAAAGTGGATCAAGGATCTAGAAATAAAACCAGAGACACTGTGCCTAATAGAAGAAAAAGTAGGCCCAAATCTCCATCATATCGAATTAGGCCCCTACTTCCTTAATAAGACCACTATAGCAAAAGAATTAAAATCAAGAATTAATAAGTGGGATGGATGCAAACTAAAAAGCTTCTTCTCAGCAAAAGAAACCATCAGTGAGGTAAACAGAGAGCCCATAGCTTGGGAGCAAATTTTTACCACACACACACACACACACACACACACACACACACCAGACAGAGCCCTAATCTCTGGGATATATGAAAAAATCAAAAAGCTAAACACCAAAAAGACAAATAACCCAATCAATAAATGGGCCAATGAATTGAACAGACACTTCTCAGAAGGTAATATATAATCAATCAACAAATATATGAAAAAATGTTCAACATCTCTAGCAATTAGAGAAATGCAAATCAAAAGCATTTTAGGATTTCATCTCACTCCAGTCAGAATGGGAGCTATTAAGAATACAAACACAGGGCTGGGGTTGTGGCTCAGCAGTATAGCACTCACCTAGCACATACAAGGCCCTGGGTTCAATCCTCAGCACCACATTAAAAAAAAAAAAAATCAATAAAAAAAGGTATTGTGTCCAGCTACAACTAAAAAAAAAAAAAGAATACAAAACAAACAACAATAATTGTTGGCAAGAATGTGGGGGGAAAGGCACACTCATACATTGCTGGTGAGACTGCAAATTGGTGCAGCCAATATGAAAAGAAGTATGCAGATTCCTTGGAAAACTGGAAATGGGACCACCTTTTGACCCAGCTATCCCACTCCTCAGTCTATACCCAAAAAGGACTTAAAAACACAGCCACATCAATGTTTATAGCAGCACAATTCACAATAGCTAAACT